TCTTTTGGATCCCAAGCAAAATGGATGAAAATCATAATAAAACTGTACTGACAGTAAAACAACGGCTCAAGTTACTTGACAAATTTGAGGACGGAGACCTGGTAACAGAATTAGCCAAGGATTATGGGGTAAAGACTAAATTATTATGTCCATGAAATGACACTACCAAACTGACCTCAGACTCTTGTCAATCAAGACAGTAACATAACAAGATTATGAGGAAAAAGATGACAGTGTTGGATGCTACATATGGGCACAATCCTCTACGAATGCAACAGCACTGGTTCGATCGTGGCGGAAACTTCTTCCAGATCTAAAAAAAGGTAATTTGGAAGGTTCTCCTAATGAAGAAATCAGCAAGTCTCAAATTTTTTACAAGTTGTGTGCTTTTAAAACCTCAATTAAGAAACAAGAAAAGGGTATTTTTTAAATGTCATTAAATACTTCTGTCTGAGTTCAAAATTTTGTGGGACAACAAAGAAAGAACGACATCTTGGAAAGAAAGAAATTTTCTCATGAGCTTTCGACCAGTGTATGGGACCAGTGCCAACCCAGCAACGTGAGGAAATTGGGGAGCTACTATAAGTAGCATAATCCGGTCAGGAAAGCTAGTAATGGCTGGGGGTTCGTCGGGCTGACCACACGTCACCCTATATCTGGTTGGATGATCGTTCACCTCTGCTTAGACATGTGAACGTGAGGCCAGAATTCAAGCTAGTCGGCTTTGGCTCTCTGGAGCTGTTACGCCACAGATTACATTTCATATATTGTTTTAGAGTAATCACATTACAGCATAATGAGCCGGGATAGCTCAGTCAGTATAGTGACTAGCTACGGGCTGGACGACCGGGGTTCGATCCCCGACGGGGGCAGAGGATTTTTCCTCTAGCCTCTGCGTCCAGACCGGCTCTGGGGCCCACCCAGCCTCCTCTACAATGGGTACCGGGGTCCTTTCCCGGGGGTAAAGCCGGCCGGGGCGTGATGCTGACCACTCACCCCCATCTAGTGCCGAGGTCAAGGAAGAGAGGAGCTATACCTCCACTCACCCCAAACGCCTACATGGCGTATAGTGGGACAAACTTTACTTTACTTTACATTACAGCATAAGAAGATAAGCTCACACACTTACTTTCAGATACCGTTTTGGTGTTTTTGCCACTCTTCCTTCAAAGAACTCTGAATGTATAACTTTCTCCTCTTCTGTGATAGTTCCGACATCAAGTATTAATTCTTCATTTGGTGGTGGCAAATTGAATATACTTTCCAGGATATCCTGATGGCTCATGGCTAATGAATATGTAGTTCCCTTCTCAGTTTCTCTTTCCTCATTACTATCTTTGACAAAAGATAATTCACTCAACCCCTCTTTCAAATCTTCCTGTAAGTTCTTTGTATTAGACACTAATACAAGACCATGGGTATTTTCTTGCTGGTCTTCAGATACATCAATATCTTCACCATATAATCCTTCTTTTTTAGATTCAATTTTCATATTACAGGTGGAATCATCAGACAAACTGTTGTTAATATCCATTTTATGTGAATGGTCTTTCTGAATTTCAGATAAAGAGATTTTGTTTGCACTCAGTGAGGCCTGAGGAGTTCTACTGGCCACTATATCTATATTTTTAATTACTGCAGAATCATCATTCACTGGGCAAAGCACATTCACATCATTTGCACATTCTTCAATTTCAATCTCATCATCTTCATCTGAATCATGACTTCTCTCTTTTTGAATACGCACCTATAACAAAGAATTCAAAGTACAATTCAATTTTAAAACCTTGCATACCATGCAGCGTTGAATATTTATCTTAAATACAGGCAATTCTCGGTTTACGAACAAGTTTCGTTCCAAGACGTTCATTATCGTTTTTGTTCGTTGTGTGTATCTTGCATTCCTGAGCTTTTACGACATGTATCATATACGTTAGCAGCCATATTAAAGCATTAAACCCAAGTACTAAACAACGAATGGTCTATACAATACGTTTTATTAAAATGTATGTATGCATTATGCGAGAAACCATTCTACGAGGCGTGGCATGTAAACCAACGTTTTTTTTTTACTGGCTAGATTAGTTTTATTAACTGAGGACAGTCCAGTATAATTATCATATAATAATTTTCTGATAATTATTGTAATAAATACATTTCTTAAAAGTTTGTTTATTTAAATCTTATAATTATGTCCACCATATGTTTGGAATTTCGTTTTATAAGGAACCCTATCTACTGGCGACTTTAAGAAGTTTTGAATTGTGACGTTCATTATAGCGAATGTTCGTAAACCGAGAGTTGCCTGTATATAAAATCATGCATACAAACAAAACTGTTTACATCATATCAATATTAAAAATCCAAATAACTAGCAGACATAAAAACAAAAATACAACCTAACAAATATATTTATACAAAATATATAGCAAATGATTCACCATCTGCAACAAATAGCATTACCATGTCATAAAAGAGTATGCCTTACCACCTCCTCTCCAGCTGATAATACTACGCTAACTTGGCAGTTGGAAGCGACACTTGAAGAATCCTCTTGGCCAAAGTCTCTCCCACCAACATCAATCTGTTGTTTCAACTTTCCCACATGGCAAATCTTGGTATTTGAGCTATGTACATTAGAATGAAATCCTTGTTTTCTACCTGAACGGTGATTCACTTTGGAAGACCTCTTAGTGACATGCAACTTAGAAAGGACTTGAGATCTGCCCCTTCGACTTTTTCCTCTGTTGTGATCAAAAGAAATGCAATACAATGAATTACTATAAATTAATATGTTCAATAAGATAACTTCAAAGCCTTACTCACAGTCTCCCTATACAAAATAAGTGATATGCACCTCACTAGAACAGAATAATGTTATTTATATTATTTAGACTGGGACAAACAATTTTATGCAAATATAAGTGTATCATGTTTTTTGACCCAAGAAGGACAAGTTTCTAAAAATTTACAAAATGCAAACAAGAGACAGCCTTTTCATTTTTACAATAAAATAAATAATTTAGAATTATCTACTACATACTGAAACCAAGAATTTACTTCTGATTTAACTACCAATCTCTTCACATTAAAAACAATGACAGATGAGATTTTATGACTGAAATTTACTAGAATACAGAAAATAAAGACACTGAAAATTCCATTCTTATAGCTGTTTTATATTTAGATACAGGTTTTATTTAATGCATAGTCAATGAATAGTCAAGGCGTTCCTGTAATGTTTATAATACATACGTACACCGGAGACGTTACCTTACTAAGGTCCTGAATCTGGTTACTTAATTTTCAATATACCTATTGACTTGGGACCTCTTGCTACTCTGCATATGTGGATAATTTGGTGGAGTAATTTAGTTTATGCGCTAGTTTCATTTAAGCTCTACAAACCAGATACCATCCCAAACCCAACATGGAGACATTACTGGCCTTCAAAATATAATATACCTTTTGCCACCAGATAATAAACAACGCCAAGAGAAAATACATTGATGGCGATACTGTTTACAGCAAATTTCTAGTCAATAAAATCTTAAGATCAAAATCTGCCGGCTACATGAAGAACAAAATTTTCACATCGGAGCAAAAAAAGCTCTAGACATTAGTTTTCTAAGATATTGTAGGTGCGTCATATTGTGATTTTATTTAAAAATAGTATTAAAATATATTAAAACAGTCCGTCAATCACAATAAAGTAATATAAGATAATTAAATGTATTAAATGTATCAATGATATATAATACAACAACAAATGTTGATACAATGTGAAAAACGAAGAAATGATAAGAAAATTAAAAATTAGTAATTGAATTAAGAGTTTATAACATACACCTGATGACGGCTCTATGAAAGCCGAAACATGTCGAGAATGTTCCATATGTAAATCGAGTACTCGATACGGAACAAAGGATAATATTTTAACCATTTAATTATCTTATATTACTTTATTGTGATTGACGGACAATTTTAATATATTTTAATACTATTAGTTTTCTAGATATTAGCAGACTCATGAACAGACCTTCACAGACCACTGAACATGTATATAAACACTAGAGTTCCTTTTAAAGATTCTCCTGGCTCTTGGACAAAGAACCTATTGCAAAGCTCATGAGTTGTATCAATAAATTACTGTATTCGTGCTTACTTAATTGAATCATTATGGACATTCAACCTCCTTCTGAATTCACCACTGTTCGCTGCAGTGCTACATTGTGATACTGTTGAATTAGTTACAACATTCCACCTGGGTACTGATGGCACAGTTGGTTGAGCAGTGCTCACAACTGCTATCACCTGTCGAAATTACAGAACATACAACTGAAAGTAAGCCATGCATTCAAATTATATTAACAATATCCACGTACAAATTTAAATAAAAACATGTATAAAGGACTGAAGATTTGGTCACAACCCAGAAGAATATGATCCACAGTTACAAAATGAGAATTAGAATATATTTACATCCATCCAATGGCACTACAGCCCAAGTTTAGGCCTTGGCCTCCTCCCATGCGGGAGATTTCCTTGTCTTTGAAGTGTGCATTTTTGAGTAGTGACTCACAAGCCCACTGCCTCCACACAATTTCTACTCAATCCTGATTTGTCTGCCAGAGCCATCTAGTAGAAAATCAGGAGAGACTTGAGTGAGAAATGGCCACTGGATTTTGCTTACAAAACATCTCATTCGTGCCCGTAAGGTTCTTTTACATGCCGTAAATCTACGACATGGGACCGCCAGCTTTACTTCCCCTCTGAAGAAAGTTGTGCTACAAATTTTTATTGCCTTTAAAAATCCATCGACTTCAGCTGTGTTTGAAACCGCGAACCTTGGGTCCAGTGGCTAGCACATTAATCACTAATCCACTGAGGGCAACGAATATAACATTTAGCACAATAAAATATCATTACAGGATTATAACTGCACACTTATTACAGCTATTTACATAAATATTTACAGCATTTTATAATTTTCAACTGAAGTAATGAATAATTTGATTCCTATACTTAACACCTTTATAAAAAGTAGTGAGGTTAGCACGTGGCTGATAAATGTCATGCTTATGCCTTCTATTCATACTATGTATGTCAAAGTTTGTTTGAAACTTCTCCATATGGTCCACAGTAAAACACAATAATGAGAGTAGGAATTCACTTGCAACGGAGAGTAAATTACATTCCTTAAACAGTTCTCACCAAGACACCATTCTTTTAATCTCTGCTATTATTATAATTATTTTCTGTAACTTTAAAACATTTTCACAATAAGTCTAAAAACTAAATTCTCGTATGGCCCCATACTTATACTACATCATGTATGCTACCACATTACAGGCATACATCAGAGATATTGCGGGTTCGGTACCAGACCGCTGCAATAAAGCGAGTCAGACAATTTTTTTGGTTTCCGAGTGCATGTAAAAGTTATGTTTACTCTATACTGTAGTCTATTAAGTGTGCAATAGCATTATGTCTAAAAAACAATGCAAGAACATTTTGAGAATTATCAAAATGTGACACAGACACGAAGTGAGCACATGCTGTTGGAAAAATGGTGCCGACACACTTGTTCGACGCAGGATTGCCACAAAACCAATTTGTAAAAAAACGCAATATATGCGAAGCGCAATAAAATGAGGTATGCCTGTATATGATAGAAGCACAATAAGAATAGCAGCATACAAACCTCCTCCATGGATGCTGGAATCTGCATATCATCGATCAATTCAGTAAAGCCTAATATACCAGTACTGCAATGGCCTGATTCACTTGAGAATGATGTCTGGGCATATTTATCATTTGCCAGACCACCAAAACGATGGAGGTGTGAACGTACGTAAGTTTTCACCTGATGTGATGATTTAGTGCCAATAAACTGTGACAGACGAACCCAGCTATGTCCAAATAAATCCTGTGTATTAATAAGAAAACTGTTAATAATTCCAACAATAAATATGTAAAATACAAAATTTCAACAAACAATGTTTGAAATGTACTCTGTTTTTAAGAGATATAAATGATATTATGAATTTTATGTCCCCAAACTTCAGGGTATCTAAAGAGAGTGCTGTTTTCCATATAAGAACACAACATGAGACATCACACTGTATTCCGATAGACCATAAATCAGAGAGTAAAAGTTTCTTCAACTTATTCCATCTTGGTACCAGTCATATATCTGACCGGGCTGTGCAAGTGTAAATCTGAATAACTACTTAATAGTTGTATACATTAAATTTAACTAATTTTCAGACTGTACTCATAATATAATAACAGCAGAATATATGAACTTCATCTCTCACATTAAGGGCAGAACATACATTAGGAAAAGATGATAGGAGATCAGGGTATATAGATGGAAAGATGCAAATATATACATCATAAATACACAGGATGTGAGGATGCAGATTAAATACATGAGGCTCAGTTGAAAGTACAGTGACAGGCTTTTGAGAAAAGAGTAACAAAATTTTGGGTTCCGTAAAAAAGGTGGGGTATTTCATGATTAGCTGACTACCAGGTTCTCAAAAATGACTGCATGAGAGTTGCTTTGCTTGAATTTAATAGAACCAAAATTAAAAGCAAATAAATTGGAGAAACATGATAATGAAAGAAAATATACTTTGTAGAACTTTATGTGTGACCACAAAAATTATTCCACACAACTGAAAACCTCCTTATAACAACTTCACTGTAATTACAAAATTCTGTACTTCTTTGTGAAGATGAAATTAATCATGCATTCACTTACTGCAATGAGTGTATATCTTCAGTTTATGTCACTTAGTAAAAAATCGACATTATCCATCGACATCAGCTTCTCTACATACTGATACATGATACAAATGGTATGAAAAGATTACTATATCTACATAAACATAACATACTTATAAAAACACTTGTTATGGAAAGATAATATTGAAACAGATTTTACGGAAACATGTTGGGGTGGAACATACTACCTCGGGGCAGGCAAACTATGGACTTGCACCATAATTTTTAATTGTGTCAGTTGTTCAAGTTGGAACAGAATAAGAGGGATAGGCATAATAACAGAGACAACATTAAAAAAAAACCAATAAGTACTTTTGCTACAGAAATAATAGTAGGAAGACGTCCTTAACACCACACCATCTTCTCGTCCAAATTCTGAATTCTAAACTATTTCAACATTCACTCTCATCTGTAAATTATATAGCAACAAGAATAATTAACAACATACCAATCCATTTTCTAATAATGACTTTTCTTTGTCACTCCAGCTGTCATGTGTCCAGTTTGAAGGAGTTGACGGATCTGTAGTTGAAAACCCGAACTGCTGCCTATCATCTGTATGCATCGTTTTTTTATCATCCGATCCTGAATCCCAACATGGTTGTGTTGCAGCTTCAAGTAACCAATGTTGGGTTATGCCATAATCACACTGAAGCAGCTCCGCCCCTTGGGAACCAAGAACACTTCCTTCGTAACAAGATGTTCTGTAAACATTAAAATGACGTGAAATTAGCCTAAATAGTAAATAATAAATGAGTTGGTAATGATGATTGACATGGCCAACAAACTGCGCATCAAATTTTCGCAGTCATCAATTGTACCTCAAAACATTTTTATACATGCTAAACCTAAAAAAGAGTCAATAAATAAGACACTTACAATCGACCATCGTCTTTCGAAAATAGATTTTCCAAATTAAAGTCCCCCAATACATCAACTTCATCTTCGTCCGCCATAACACAACCAGGATAGTCAGAAACAAAATTTACCTTTTAATCTGTGACCACAGGTACTTAAAATTAAGTTGTTTATGAATGGCAGTGAGGTAACCAGCAACAAATAAAAATATGGGAAAAAATCAAGGTTTGGCAGAACGAAGAAAATAAGTAATCCGCTAACGTCTACATCTTTCCACTCGTTATAAATTAAACTGATTCATTTTTCCCACTCCATTAAAACAAGACTGTAAGCATTTTAAACTTTGGTATTAGTTGGGCATTGGTGACCAAGTTGATATTTTAGTTGTATTATTCCCGCATAACGAAAGGCTTATTAAGGCAAACGTTACTGTAGTGCAATAATACTATTACCCCAATTTTTTTTCCTTCTTTATACTATTATTCATTTTAACAAAATCTATTAATGATACAGCACATCAGTAGAATATTTTATGATCTTGACATAGCATTTAAATGAATGACTGTTGAAACTAAATTTTTATTATGAGTTTCAAGGCAAAGCTAGACAGTTTCACCTGACATGTCATGAGCTTTAGATGTAAGATGAAGGGATTTAATTAATTTTTAACTTGTTACAAAACTCAATCTTGTTAATAATGTCAGTAATGTACTTCACATATTAATCTTTTGTAGGTTATGTAGTTTAGTTTCCAAATTGTACTAAGTCAAGTTTGCACAAAAATAGTGGAATAAATATGTTTTAATGGTGGAAAATGTAACTGGAAGTATAATAACAGAAAGACACTGCACAATCACAATATCTACTTGCCTCTTTATGGTGAGACCACCTACTTAATGCAAGATCTTTAGCAGTCCTGGATGAATAGTGCATTCATTTTCCTGATGTACATGGTTAATTTTACAATGATAATCAATATTTATTTCAGAACTATGCAATGTCAGATACTATTAAGGAGGAAAATAACAAGAAGATGCAAGAAGATGAACTTTCTGGCAGTGAGCCTGAAATTTTGAGTCACCAAGAGCTGCTGGAAATAACACGAAAAACCCTGACTGATGTTTTGAAACGTGACCCATTGCTCTCTGACCTTCCAAGTGGTGTTACATTGGAAGAAGTACAAGCACAGATTGCTCTTGAACATGGCCAGTCAATGACAGTTTATGTTGTTCGTGATGATGGAGAAGAAATGCCAGTTGTGGTAATTGATGTTTAAACATGAATTGAAATAATGAAAAATGGTATTTACTTAAGCTTAAAGACAGGAAATAGGGTTAACAACCATTCACTGTCAGATTAACTGTATTACAGAGCTTTTGCAAAGGTTTCAGTATTGGCAGTGTCTGAAAGACATAGTTCATATAAGATTAGGGCCCTGGCTACGAAGGTAATAAAGTAATTTTTGGGTATAGCAGAAATACAAGAGATTAAGCTGTTGATTTGAAGTGTCAAACTGTATTTTAATATGGAAAAGAAACCAGGGTCATAGCTTAGAAAATGGCTGTTCAGGAAGCGGCATCCTGAAACAGCAGTTCAGAAAGTATAACTTGACAATAACAAAATATCATACTTCATCCTCATGGGTCAGTAGTGAAATTTTAATAATGTGAATGTGCCTGAACCAACTGAAGTAAAGGACAGTACTCTTGAGGGGCAAGAATTTGTATTTCTTCAGTTTCATGGATACACATGACAATTTTTTAGGAGATTCAGTCCTAATACTGTACAGGACATTTAAAGCTGACCATAGGGAAGAAGAAGCTATCAGCCATGTCATTTCATTAAAATTCAGCCTGCGAATGTGGCAGAGTCTATGTTGGACAGACTGGTAGATCCATCAAAATCAGATGTAAAAAATATGGGAGTCACGTATGTCTGGGCCAGCCAGAAAAATCTGCGACGGCAGAGCATAGATTTGATACAGGGCATAACATTCATTTCAAGAACATATCCGTCCTGGATATGGTGACAGGATACATAGACCATGTAACAAAAGAAACTGTTGAGATCAGGGTTCAATCCAAAAACTTTAACAGATAACAGAGACAGTTGATACTGGTACCCAGTGACTAAAATTATAGTGCACTGTTAATTGTTCTTTGTCTCTTGGCAGAAGTTCTCCTCATGACTAAAGTTGTCGGTAGCATAAAACTTTTCTAAAGGAAAAATTGAACCTTGTTTCAGGTGCAACAGCAGGGTGCTACTGTTATGGATCTAAAACGTGCCATCCGTCGCTATTTCACATTGAAGCTGACACGTTACCAACGATCATCAGTGAATATTAGCTGGCGATATGTCTGGCATGCCAACTGGCTTCTTCATGAAGGTTCCAAACTCAAAGATGATAATGCTCTCTTAGCAGATATTGGTATTCGAAATAAATCTCGTGTTTCTTTCATTAAAAAACTAGGAGAAAGGGGAGAATTAAGATAAATTAAAATTGAATATCTTTGTAACAAATTTGAGTGTTTGGAACCTATTTTTTGGGTTCTCATGGTGATGAACATGCCCATGGTGGCCTTCTGGGTTATGTCACCATGTAGACTTTTAGGTTGTACCAGTGTTTTGGAGAAACATTTTTATTGAATCCAGAAGATCAAAATGTCATTATGAAGTGTTTTTACTGTACATCTTTACGTGGTGAACAGCGGAAGAGGGTAAATTAACAGTCTCCTTTCTTCCAGCATGTCAATGAAATGTCTTACATATTAAACTCTTGTAGCTAATTCTTTCAACTTTAAATTGAATAAAAAAAAAGTTGTGTATACAGTTACGAGATTTAAGATTGTCACAGCAGTGAATATGACATGTTCTTCTGTGTTGTGATGCTGAATGGACTTGTGTTTCAAAGAAACATATTTTCTTTGAAACGCTGGTATTTTCCTATGAGTCCACAGTGTCATAACCCAGAAGCATAGCATTTGTGTATATACTTGTTCATTCACTCGATGAGGTAATTACACTTTAGTGTTTTTCAGATTTATTCCAGCATACATGAGTTTAAGCTTGGAATTTCCAGAGTTATATTTTTCCCATCCATGCGTGCCACATGACCTGCCCATCTCATTCTTCCAGTCACCCTGCTCATCTTAATACATATCAAAATCAAAATCCTTCTGCCTGTAATGATCTCTAATGCTTTTTTCAAGCTTCCATATAATCCTGAGAATGTACACGTTACTTTTTGTTTAAAATGTAATCATGACAGCAGCACAAAACATTTTTTTCTTTTGCAAGTACTGAACAATATCTTAATATTAAATTTGGGAAACCATTATGTGTGAAAAATGTTATGACATGTAAATGTTGAAAATTGCTGAGGAACATAAACTAATATTATGGTTGTTGGCAGCATTGCTATGTGATCCTAAAAATTTGTATGATGCGAGATCTTGCAAATAAACAATCTACTAGCATAACTTTAATTTAAAAATTAGATAAGAGCAAAGCAACTATGTGAAATAATTTAGGTTTTTATAAAAAGTAACTAATGTACAGTAATTTTGATTAGTGAAAATATTGTATGTATGTAATTTATATGTGCTGTGAATGGCAACATGGTTCTGACATAAACCTTTTTAAATAAGTTTTGCAAATACAGGAACTGGAAACTAACCTTCATTATATTCTGCCTTTCCTATCAATATTTTAGTTTCAGAGCATTATAAAATGAATTAATTTAATTACCTGTAACATGTCACTTAAGGTTATGTTGATAGGACAATAATGTTACTAAAATTCAGAGTTACACTCAAAGTTTATTTCTTAAAGTATACCAGTTGATGGGCATAAGATATGTAAATTTTATTTACTGTTATTAATCATAAGTTAGTAACATGATTTGCATGATCTCATACACATATCTCCGTCTTCAGTTCCTACACAGCTGGGCCCACTAGGTAGAGCTAATCCCTATCTCCGGACAAAGTAAAAAGTGAAAGGCCGGAATACAATAACATCACCACACCATCCATCCGTGGGACGTAAAAAACAGAAACAGTAGAAACAAATTAGTTAAATACGATAGAGCCCCATCTCCGAAACGTCGTTTTACGTTTTATAGTTTATTGACTAGACGATGGATAATATCCAAGAAGATTTTTATTCAAATAACTTCCTGTGTTGATGAAAGTTGAAGTACTTGACTAAGATCACAAAAGATTGCATTGCTAACAAACAGAGATTGTTCAAAGATTCATTTAGATCAGTTGACTTTGGATATTCTTCTCCTCTCATATGTTCCTTCCCTTTTCTCTTGTATTTATTATGCATTTTGTTTAGTCTGCACTGTATAGAGTCAGCTTACAACTTCCCTGCTTTGTGTTACCTTTGTTTAGGTTTCTAGCTGATCCCTACACATTCAGTAGACCCTATAGTCTTTGTGTATATTTACGTGCTCCGCCAAGTTTCAGTCATGGGAGTGAAAAAATTATGAGCATTGACAGAGGAGGAAACTGAATGAGAGTGTTTTTGATACTGACCTGAATTAAGTTCATCATAATCATCTGAAGGCAACTAAGAAGACATTTCAGAATGTTTTGATGACAAGTCAGGCAGGACTTTGTAAAAGCAGAGGTTATGTTTGTGGAAGCAGGGTCTACTTGTTCTCAGCATCAAAGATAAGCAACTGGTTGTAACAGTGTCAATTTTTTATACAACAGAAACTGCAGATGCCCTGAGCAGAAGATTAGCACATCAAAGGTAAAGGCAGAGTAGAATAGAATTTATTGGCATTGCATAAATCTCTCATTGTAGTACTTGCATGTGGCACCTTGTGTATAAACAATTAACTGTGGGCAGCCATCAAATTCCTTGATGATGAAGACGGAGTCTGAAATGCTGGACTTCTCTTCTGAGTTGATGCAGCTGGTTGGTCACCTTAGAGGATTATATCACAAGATTGGTTTTGTTGTTTAATGTATTCACAAACACTCTTTTCACTGTTACTGAATAAGTAATAGTGAATCTTGTAAGGACATGTTACAGATATATCTAATGTCAATATTAGTGTTATTAAAACTTTGAATACTTACATGCACAGTTTGCAGGTACTTGTAATACTTCTTGTCTCTTGTTAAACTACAATCAATGCGTAGTCGTCGGGTTCGACCCCAGTGTATAGCTCGGAGATGACGGTCACACCGCCTCTTAGCAAATACGTAGTGAGAGGAAATTATCTGGTCCCATGGCCATTCCCAATTGAGAATGTGTAGATCCAGTAGATATGCAGACGGGAGGTCCCTGTGCCGCGTGTTCTAACTAAAGTAAGACGCTCTTTGAAAGACCAAGTACACACAGACGAAACAAGTCCCCGTACGCCAATGTGCGGTGTCAGTGTGGGTTTCCAACAACAGGCTAGAGAAGATATTTACTATAGTGACTGAAACGAAGGCAAATTCAGGGCACTTATTGATGCAAGTAACAAATGCAAGTCGAGGGCCACTTGAAATTCAGAAGCACGTGAGATATCTGAATCTCTAATTAACGAAGTCAACGGAAACGGAAATTGCGAAGAAATTTCGAAACAGATTTACAGGAAAAATGAGGCCACTACTAAAGAGTAAAACGAAGCATTTAAGAGAGAGGGAGGGAGCAGTGATACTCGTAGATGCGGTTTTACAGAAGTACGTCCACGTGTTTTTTGAAGAGGGACACAGGGAGTTTGATTGTACTAAAGTGGCAACTCATACCATAGAAACAGCAAATGCAGTGCCAATAAGGAAACGTCCATATAGGATACCGTACGCTTTAAGAGATGTTATGAAAGAATAATTTCAGGATCTGTTGAAAAAAAAAAGTATTATACGTGAAATTGGTAGTCCGTGGTCAAGGCTCGCCATATTGGTCCTAAAAAGGAGTATGGATGACACACAGAAATGGAGAATGTGCACAGATTTTAGAGGTTCAAATGCACTAACCAAGTTTCAGGTATTTCCCGCGGTGGCGTCTTTGCAGGGAAGCCGCTACTTCACGGTGTAAACCGGTCGTTCCTCTATCGGACAGATCGCAGTGTCCCGTAGGTGGCAGGGATTGTTGGGTCGTCGGGTAGTTCGTATCAGCCAGATTGAATACACGGATTGACTAGATGGAAGACGCGATTTACTTGAGACCTGCTTGATCGTTGATCTAAATACACCGATCCCACGTCACGCAGTCCAATCCTTGATGCTTTACACTTTGTTAAATTTCACACTTTTCTGAAACGCACAGCCAAATTCGCACACACGTCCAACTCTGAAGCTCCCAGATCGGTCTCCTCTCTCGCTCACTAACTTCTCAAACACCTCATTTCTTTCTAATCTCCGTCTGCTTCCAAAATAACACCTTTTTATACGGTGAGCACCCTTACGGTTGGACAGTCAAATTTCCAGCTTTTCCCAAAAGGAAATGTAACACCAACTAATATTGGTGTGGGTCCAGGTTCAGTTCTAAGGACCTCCCCTTTCCCACCTATCCTCAGGGAGTTTCTTATTTCATATTGTTGCTAACTTTCGATTTATTTGTTACCAGTACAGCTTTGTCATATGAACGACAACTTGCCCTTAAATAAATGTCGGCAGAGAATTTAAAAAGAAGTTGGACACTACTGTCATAATTTTAAAAGTGTGGGCTTACTATTGCTAGTTCATTCTTCATTTTGACGATGTTTTGGGTTTTGGGGCCGTGTAGACTCGTCGGTAGATGCCGACGTTTCGAAGAGATATACCGTCTCCATCTTCAATCATGATTATGGGGATAATCCTTAGCGCCCTGAAAACTACAAACTCAGGTAAATGTTTTTTCTTAAAATAAATGATTTTAAGCTTTCATGACGATGCACTAATGATGTGAGCGATGTATATATAAGTATGGTCCTCTGAAACGTCGGCAGCAACCCAAATTCTAGGTCTGTATAGTGTCAGCACTTAGAAGCAGGAAGATGGCTGTATTCTGGGTTGTGGCGTTATGTGGGGTTATGTTTATCAACACGAACACTGTAGGCTGCATTAATACAACTGAAAATTAATGTGCGTGATTTTATCCCGCATTATAAAAATCTATTTTTTTTAATTCCTGTAAATCGTGTCACGTGATTTTTTATTTATTCTGTGTTTTGTTGTGGGAGCAAATAACAACAGGAAAGTATGTGTTAATCCAACATGAAAGAAAACAGTTTTAACAATCGACACAGCAATTTATTGGCGTTATTTTTTTAATGAATGACGCTGTATCTAGGATACTTTTTAAAAACCATCTCCGAATTCCATTGCAACTTCTGAAACTTTCAGTGGCGGACATTTGCAAAAACTGAAACCTTTCAACAGTCGGATAAGAATTTACATCCTACGAGGCTAGTAATGCCATTTCTTCTTCACTGAAGTAACAAAAGCCGAAATGGCTTTTTGAAATAAGCCGTTAACTAACTCTATGGATAAATCCTTCTTGAGAAGCTAATAGTGCCTCAGCTAGTCAAGATATTCCCACCCGTTATGGAACTCAGAGGTTTACAATAAACCGCTTCTGGTCCCTGTTCTGAACCAGGTGAATATTTTTTCTAATGCCCATATTAATATTATCTCGCAGCTACGCAAAGGTCATCCGAGTTATTTCTTTCTTTCAGGCTTTCCAACCAAATTGTTGTACTTTTCTGTGCCAAGCGTAAGTTTAGTTCAAATGCAGAGTGTCCGGATGAAAGGTATCCAAAATAAAAAAAATTATATCTCGGAAACTAATTGTCAAACACGTATCCGGTTTATGGCATCGGAAAGGAAAACTCGGCACACGTAGGACTTAACCGTCGGTTGACTGTTCTGTCGTTGTCGGCTGAAGCATACGACACATAAACGACACGACAGTTCAGTCCACGAGCATGCGCACACGTACGTCTAAACAGTCGTTCTCTTGTTCTCTTTTGTTCCACGTTCTTCGCTCTATCCTCGCCGAGTACAGACGTCAGGAATGTCGCAAGAAGAGAATACCGAACACTTAATTGAAGAGGTCGAAAGACGCCCTGCTCTTTATGACAAAAAATTGAAAGATGTAAACATCAATGTTAAAAGAGAACTTTGGCAATAGATTTGTTCAGTTGTGGTACCAGGTTGGAGCGAATTGTCACCCGAAAAAAAGACTGAAACAGGTTAGTTTATTTGTTTTTTATTTAATTTCAACAATTACATTTTAACAATTTAAATTTTTACTTATAGTGTAGACCGATTTGCTTGATAATTTTTATTTTATTCCAAATTAAATGTTGTTTCATCTTATATGGCACCAAATCTGTCATTCTTGGTAAAATGTTTATTGTCTTCACACGACCTGCCTATTACATTTTTTCGTATTGCTTTGGTATTGATCCTTGAAGTGAAATGAAAAACTTCGACAAGAAACTCCTAACATCGGTTCCGCAATTTCGTACGTTATTAACAACAGTACTTTCAAGAGGACACTCATATACAGTAACAACAAAACGTATGCCATCCTTACAGCGAACAAAATTATGAAGTACACAACATGCCTTAATTATGCAGTCCCAGAAGCCGATGCTGACATTATATCTCTTTATGTTCTTAAGGGCTTTGTGCGCATGCGCCAGCTGGTGACCTTCGGCGAGCTCAGTAACGATGTCGACACCTCAGGAACAGGTTCCATGCGTGTTGTGGCTAGCAGAGTTGCTGGTTGTATTTATGTCATGTTAATGGAAACGCCCGGTTGTCTGATTTTATTTGTGCTGTCACGAATACTATACAATTTGGGGTAGAATTGCCATAGAACCTTTTTCTGCAGCACGAGTTTTTTGTACTTCAAATACCTTCTGCATTTATGGTAAATATTTCAACTTCGACAGCAAAACGAAGAAATCTCGTGAATTAATTTCGCAACTCTTTAAATCGGAAGACTGTCTAAATAAATGTAAGAACTCCTAATAATCACTGCTTACAGTGCAACAGAATGTAGCGTTAAAAGTTGCTAAAGCTGATGATTCATGCACGGACTACGACTCTGTTCGAAGTGTCGTGAAAACTAAGAAGTTTTCCTTGAGTTCAGTGCGTAAAAGTAGCCATAGTCGCTTGATGCTTTTCAGTTTTAAGCGATGATGAACCAACTGGCAACTATGAAATCTTCACTTTAACTGCTGGCATCGTAGTAAAAGAAAGTTAATTCTGTTTCTGGGAATTAAAATCGTAGAAGGTCAATGTACGTGATCCTGCTTTGCTAAAAACTTCTTGATAGATCCAAGACATGAGATATTTAGAGTAGACACATTTTAAATTTAATTTGGTAACGACTATTTTGATAAAGAAGGACATACAAGTTTTACTTGGCGCTAGTAGAAAGTTGGGGACGAGTGAGGTTTTCTGAGCTTTTCCTCAGTTGTAAGGTAAGTACAAGGGACGACGGCCCGCCTAAATCATCGAGGCCTTCAGCTGACGTGACAAAAATTCGGAGAGCGACCTCCGGTTTCAAATTCCAGACAACTCTCCAACGAAAATCCTTTCCATGAAGGACAAGTTGCCTCACGCGATAACCTGTCATCAGCAGCAACAGAACCTAGTTTGATTAATCAACGCTTTCCGCCTCGACAAAACCCTCGTTTTAGTTATGAGGCTCTGTTTATCATTTCCAGCAATGCGTTCCTTAAACAGGAATGGTGTTTTCTAGCAAGGGTCGATGTCTTTCGCTTCCGGAGGACTCTGCCCTTAGTTAGCTTTTTGGTTCTGCTAGGTCCAGAGACAGGGACCACTTACATGGATTGGGCCCAACAGTCGGATTTTTACCTGGAGATGAAAAAGACTCCAGTCTCCAAAACGACATTTTTATTGGTTTTTGGTCTTGGAATATGCATTAGGTCCAAAAAATAGTTTGCTTCAACATCTTAAGATAGACTCGAACCAAGGACTGTATTCGGATCCGTGACCTTAGATCCTGTAATTTCCTCTCCGAAACGCAAGAGTTTTTCCTTGGCGTCGCTCGCTTACCGCGGCTGCGTTCAACAGAAACCATTCTTCTTGTCAGGAGTCGAACCCAGTGTCGAGGCCTTCGTTTCCGTAATCTCCCCTTCGAGGCAGAAAGCCCTGATCCTGGCGCCATTGTTCTGTCTCACTTAGTTTCGGAGTTAGGAACCGCCCTTGAAGGAAATCGAACCCAGGACACTTTTCCCAGGGTTCTGACCTTCCAGTGTTCTCTCATTTGTCTTAAGTCACTTCACAAGCGAACGAGTAAAGAATGTCAACACTTGACTAGTAGACTAAGGGGAAATACGACAGTTTCTTACAAATTCATCTTCTGGGTCTCAGACAGTTTTCGGGCTTGTGACCTTAGTCAGTCAAATCATTTCCCAGGAACAAAAACAGAATTTTCCTTAGCGCCATTCGTCCCTAGTGATTGCTGTCCGAACGACAGAAAATATCTTTGGCGGGCTTCGAAGGTAGGAAACATTTTCTCTGGCCCAGCGCCCGGGCCCCTCAAAAATCATCTTTAAAATTAATGAAGCCGGGCGTCATTTTTAAATAAGGGCAACTGGAATTGTAGTTTTCTTCTCGTCTCTTTCGATTATTTTTAAATGTGTCCTCTTCTCATAGGGAAAGTACTTTATATTATGAGTGATTCAACCAAATTATAAGCTAGAGTAATTATCTTTGTTGTTTTCTCAACTACCAACAATGTGTAAATATTGACCGACAATGGTCAGTTTTTATTTGAACACCTGCGTCTACAACAATACAAGAAAAAGTATTCGAATTTCTAACCCACGTCTGCAACAATCTTGGCTGAGCATGCCGTAAGGCTCTTTTCTCATTTAATATGCATGCAGTATAATAGCCTGAATGAACCGTATTGCACTCCATTCCTTTACCTAAGAAACTAATTGTTGCGTCATCTGTTTACTCGGCATTGTTGTGTTTCATTATTGCCGTCAACAATCCGCTTTCGTCATTGCGGAAAGAGCTGAGCTGTGAATCGCTTGTAGAAGAAGTGCGTCATATAATTTTGTGTTCTTAAAAACCTCTTAGAATATCACGAGTTCTTATCTTATAGAAGAATTATTAAGAAATCTGTGATACTCCATTTTAGTTTGGATTAAATTGGTAATTGCCCGTAGACTTCGTGGTCTCTTACAGTTGATCAAAGTTTGAGGTAAGGAATTCCTATTTATTATTTTTGTTGTTCATCACATTTAATGTTTTCATCTGCATTTGTGAACTCGTGTAAGAGAATTAGGCTTGTCTTCTTTTTAACACAATTTCAAGTAATATTCGATTGACTTCTGTTTGTTCACGGCATCATTGATAGTAAAATAATATTCCGGTAGGCAATTAACATTTTAAATTTTAAAACAATAAAACGTGTTTCATATCCTAGAATCTTAATAAAAATATATGGATCTTAAGAAGTGGGGTTTATATTCTGAATAATAATTC